CTTTGTAATACTTTAAGCAAAAAAAAACAAAAAAAAAAAACAGAAAAAAAAAAGAAAGTCACCCGTCTTGTAAACAGGCATAACTGCTATATTTAATCAACAAATTTAATACTAAAGGTTAAATTTAGAGGAAATAATGTTTCTCTCTAAATTTCCTAAACAAATGCAGTTTAACATGAGATAAGATTTCAGATTTCTAATATTTCAAATAAACAGAACACTCTGAAAATAATCTCAGTAAATATTTGAAAAATTTCACAGTATGTTAACTCTAACCAGTCAATACTCTTAAGAGCATTAAGAAAATGAGTTTCTAAAGAAAAAGTTGCTTCACAATGAAATTTTCTGTTAAACAATATTACATTTCAATCCAATGGGAGAAGACAAAGTAAAGGAAATAAACATGGAAAAAGAAACATGAAAACAATATTTTAAAGTTTTAGAAAACCAAAGTTCTTAAAGAGTAGTGCATGGTTAATGCCAAATTAAAAGTACAGGTCAGAGGTATTAAAATTGTTCAAAGAAGACACTGCATGCAGAAAGAATAATATGAAAGGCTTTTTACTGAAATAACTAATTTGCATAAGAGAAGAAAAGAATGTGTCACTGGTAGACAAATATAAGGATTTACTGTAGGAAAAGTCAGAAAGCTAAAAGTTAAATTATAGGAGGTATTAAATTTCAATCAAAAGTGATTTTCAGACACAAAGTCTCCTATTGCCAGGTTGTACCTTAACTAAGCTTGGTAAAAATTTACCAAGAAGAATGCATGTCAATATCTTCATGAGGGAGACTAAGTACAGAAATACTTTCTAACTATCTTAAAATTTAGTCCATAACTCTAAGGTTGCTTTCATACTATGTGAAAAATGTGGTAACTTAAAAAAACAGTACACTTAAATGACTATTAAATGCTATATATGCAGATTTTTGAAAGGTATGAGGATAAAAAAAAATAGGATTGAATATCTATTACAATCTCCACACTCCCAGTTTAAGATAAATGAAGAAAACTAATTTCTAGGATACTGTTTTAACCTAAAGACCAAAACTACTTCAGCTGCTTCCTGTGAGATCTAAGCAAGTCTCTCAAGTCATCTCTAGATTTTTATTCTGCATAATTTTTTCACAAATTTATCACACATGACTTATGACATATATTTATTACCTTTCTAACCTTCATGGAAACAGGAACTTGTTTGGTTCACTGATATATATCCAGCAAGTCAAACTATGCCCATCACATTGTGAGGACTCATATAATTCTAGAGTAATAAAAGGTGGTTAGGGGATCCTTCCCTTTCAGATTATGAAAGGCTAAAGTGCATTTGGAGCAGACATAGTTAGTTACAAAAAAATAAATTCAAGGATATATTTATTACATATAGAAAAATTGTACAATAGGTAGCAGCTAAAGCAAAATGCTATCTTCACTGACTTATTATTCTTAGATTGATTACACTAGCCTCTATACTTAAGTGCATATTGTATCCTTTTGGTTTTGAAAGATTAAAGGTGATGTTTAACTGCAGAGATTGCTTTTGTTTAAAAAATGATTCTTTAACAGTAATACTATTAGATTAACAAAGTAATTAAAATCTTTTTTTTTAACTTTCTTCCCCCAAAAAACATAAAATAAACCAAGGTCTGGATTTGTTTGTGCCATTAATGGTACACTTCTATATTCAAAACACAAAGGCAGACAGAAATATGGAAATGCATGGATATCCATCTGTACTAACAGTAAATATTAATTAGCATTACATTTCAAACTAACTCCTTTTCAAAAGACAAATTATCAATGCCATTATAAAAGAGCAGAACATTTTGTAGTATAATAAACTGGCATTTATTTCAAAGAATAAAGATATAGTATATTCTGATTGACTGGACATCATATATACAAATTTCATTCAATTTACCAAAATTCACCACCAATTACATACTATGTGAGAACAGTAAGATAGCCAAAAGAGAATGGAAATGTAATAGTTTTATCATAATCAATGTTTTCCACAATATAGGCTAGAAAGTCAACTCTC